ATCACAGCCATGAGGCCAGATCAATGAAACCAGGATACATCCTTTACCGTACAAACTGGATCCAAACACAGCTGCCTGTGTGCGCTTGATAAATACTTTCTGATGTTATATGATATGCTACATATTAGCTAGGCTACATGGCCCTAACGTGTAAAGTTATACAAACATTTGTACCAGTGCTTTTCACAAGTAGACTATTGCAGGCCAGAGTATAGGAGTGATTCAACAACAACACAAAGACATATGAGAAGTGATCAGGACGAACAGAAAGAGGAAAAGGAAAAGAGAGTTGAAGAGACCAGGAGGGTCAGAGCAGGAGGAAGAGGAGGAGGAGATGAAGAGACCAGGAGGCTCAGAGCAGGAGGAAGAGGAGGAGATGAAGAGACCAGGAGGGTCAGAGCAGGAGGAAGAGGAGGAGATGAAGAGACCAGGAGGGTCAGAGCAGGAGGAAGAGGAGGAGATGAAGAGACCAGGAGGCTCAGAGCAGGAGGAAGAGGAGGAGATGAAGAGACCAGGAGGGTCAGAGCAGGAGGAAGAGGAGGAGATGAAGAGACCAGGAGGGTCAGAGCAGGAGGAAGAGGAGGAGATGAAGAGACCAGGAGGCTCAGAGCAGGAGGAAGAGGAGGAGATGAAGAGACCAGGAGGCTCAGAGCAGGAGGAGGAGGAGGAGATGAAGAGACCAGGAGGGTCAGAGCAGGAGGAAGAGGAGGAGATGAAGAGACCAGGAGGGTCAGAGCAGGAGGAAGAGGAGGAGATGAAGAGACCAGGAGGGTCAGAGCAGGAGGAAGAGGAGGAAGAGGAGGAGATGAAGAGACCAGGAGGGTCAGAGCAGGAGGAAGAGGAGGAGATGAAGAGACCAGGAGGGTCAGAGCAGGAGGAAGAGGAGGAGATGAAGAGACCAGGAGGATCAGAGCAGGAGGAAGAGGAGGAGATGAAGAGACCAGGAGGGTCAGAGCAGGAGGAAGAGGAGGAGATGAAGAGACCAGGAGGCTCAGAGCAGGAGGAAGAGGAGGAGATGAAGAGACCAGGAGGGTCAGAGCAGGAGGAAGAGGAGGAAGAGGAGGAGATGAAGAGACCAGGAGGGTCAGAGCAGGAGGAAGAGGAGGAGATGAAGAGACCAGGAGGGTAAATGGTATGGCGTGACGGGGTTGAAACAAAATGAGGGACAATATTGCAATTTCATAGATAATTCAAGTATTTTTTCAGAATTGATTTTTGATCAGTTAAAGTTGATAAGCATGTGATTATATTAGCAGCAATATTTTGGGATAATTGGCCATTTTGATTTGTTTGATATTACATTAGTATGTAATAATGCTTAGTGCAAATATGTCTGTCTAAGACAACCAATTTTTTTTTAAACAAAATATATATTTAATTTTACATTGTAATGCAAAACAACCTGTTCCATTAATTCATTGCTTTAAAATACATGTTGTAGTTTCCTTTCATTTAAAATGGTTGAGGTAAGCTTGGGGGACTCAAAGGGCACCCGATTGTTTGTCTGAACACCTTGTTTCTCTTGTTAAGAACACTTGTGTTAGGGCATGAATTATAATTAGGCATAATTAGGGTTCTAGAACCGCCACTGGAGCAGTTACTAAAATAATATCCAGGGGATGTATGCAGAGCTGTGATTGGCTGGGATCAGTCCAGCCATGCGTCACTCCTCCACTGTTCCCGGAAATGCGCCCGCGGAGGACCCATCAGTGTATCCTCGGTTAGAGCTCCTCCAGAGAGCCTCCTCTCTCCTCTTTCCTCTCTCCTCGATCATAGCTCCTCCAGAGAGCCTCCTCTCTCCTCTTTCCTCTCTCCTCGATCATAGCTCCTCCAGAGAACCTCCTCTCTCCTCGGTTAGAGCTCCTCCAGAGAGCCTTCTCTCTCCTCTTTCCTCTCTCCTCGATCATAGCTCCTCCAGAGAGCCTCCTCTCTCCTCTTTCCTCTCTCCTCGATCATAGCTCCTCCAGAGAACCTCCTCTCTGCTCGGTTAGAGCTCCTCCAGAGATTCTTCTCTCTCCTCTTTCCTCTCTCTCGATCATAGCTCCTCCAGAGAGCCTCTTCTCTCCTCTTTCCTCTTTTCCTCGATCATAGCTCCTCCAGAGAGCCTCCTCTCTCCTCTCTCCTCGGTTAGAGCTCCTCCAAAGAGCCTCCTCTCTCCTCTTTCCTCTTTCTTCGATCATAGCTCCTCCAGAGAGCCTCCTCCTCTCCTCTTTCCTCTTTCCTCGATCATAGCTCCTCCAGAGAGCCTCCTCTCTCCTCTCTCCTCGGTTAGAGCTCCTCCAGAGAGCCTCCTCTCTCCTCTCTCCTCTCTCCTCGGTTATAGCTCCTCCAGAGAGCCTCCTCTCCTCTCTCCTCTCTCCTCTCTCCTCGGTTAGAGCTCCTCCAAAGAGCCTCCTCTCTCCTCTTTCCTCTTTCCTCGATCATAGCTCCTCCAGAGAGCCTCCTCTCTCCTCTTTCCTCTTTCCTCGATCATAGCTCCTCCAGAGAGCCTCCTCTCTCCTCTCTCCTCTCTCCTCTCTCCTCGGTTAGAGCTCCTCCAGAGAGCCTCCTCTCTCCTCGGTTAGAGCTCCTCCAGAGAGCCTCAGCTCTCTTTTTTCCTCTCTCCTCGATCATAGCTCCTCCAGAGAGCCTCCTCTCTCCTCTCTCCTCGGTTAGAGCTCCTCCAGAGAGCCTCCTCTCTCCTCTCTCCTCGGTTAGAGCTCCTCCAGAGAGCCTTCTCTCTCCTCTCTCCTCGGTTAGAGCTCCTCCAGAGAGCCTCCTCTCTCCTCTCTCCTCTCTCCTCGGTTATAGCTCCTCCAGAGAGCCTCCTCTCTCCTCTCTCCTCTCTCCTCTCTCCTCTCTCCTCTCTCCTCTCTCCTCGGTTAGAGCTCCTCCAGAGAGCCTCCTCTCTCCTCTTTCCTCTTTCCTCGATCATAGCTCCTCCAGAGAGCCTCCTCTCTCCTCTTTCCTCTTTCCTCGATCATAGCTCCTCCAGAGAGCCTCCTCTCTCCTCTCTCCTCGGTTAGAGCTCCTTCAGAGAGTCTCCTCTCTCCTCTCTCCTCGGTTAGAGCTCCTCCAAAGAGCCTCCTCTCTCCTCTTTCCTCTTTCCTCGATCATAGCTCCTCCATAGAGCCTCCTCTCTCCTCTCTCCTCGGTTAGAGCTCCTCCAAAGAGCCTCCTCTCTCCTCTTTCCTCTTTCCTCGATCATAGCTCCTCCAGAGAGCCTCCTCTCTCCTCTTTCCTCTTTCCTCGATCATAGCTCCTCCAGAGAGCCTCCTCTCTCCTCTCTCCTCGGTTAGAGCTCCTCCAGAGAGTCTCCTCTCTCCTCTCTCCTCTCTCCTCTCTCCTCGGTTATAGCTCCTCCAGAGAGCCTCCTCTCTCCTCGGTTAGAGCTCCTCCAGAGAGCCTCATCTCTCTTCTTTCCTCTCTCCTCGATCATAGCTCCTCCAGAGAGCCTCCTCTCTCCTCTCTCCTCGGTTAGAGCTCCTCCAGAGAGCCTCCTCTCTCCTCGGTTAGAGCTCCTCCAGAGAGCCTCATCTCTCTTCTTTCCTCTCTCCTCGATCATAGCTCCTCCAGAGAGCCTCCTCTCTCCTCTCTCCTCGGTTAGAGCTCCTCCAGAGAGCCTTCCTCTCTTCTCTCTCCTCGGTTAGAGCTCCTCCAGAGAGCCTCCTCACTCCTCTCTCCTCGGTTAGAGCTCCTCCAGAGAGCCTCCTCTCTCCTCTCTCCTCTCTCCTCGGTTATAGCTCCTCCAGAGAGCCTCCTCTCTCCTCTCTCCTCGGTTAGAGCTCCTCCAGAGAGCCTCCTCTCTCCTCTTTCCTCTCTCCTCGGTTAGAGCTCCTCCAGAGAGCCTCCTTTCTCCTCTCTCCTCGGTTATAGCTCCTCCAGAGAGCCTCCTCTCTCCTCTCTCCTCTGTTAGAGCTCCTCCAGAGAGCCTCCTCTCTCCTCTCTCCTCGGTTAGAGCTTCTCCAGAGAGCCTCCTCTCTCCTCTTTCCTCGGTTATAGCTCCTCCAGAGAGCCTCCTCTCTCCTCGGTTATAGCTCCTCCAGAGAGCCTCCTCTCTCCTCGGTTAGAGCTCCTCCAGAGAGCCTCCTCTCTCCTCGGTTATAGCTCCTCCAGAGAGCCTCCTCTCTCCTCGGTTATAGCTCCTCCAGAGAGCCTCCTCTCTCCTCTCTCCTCGGTTATAGCTCCTCCAGAGAGCCTCCTCTCTCCTCTCTCCTCTGTGTGCATTTAGAGAAATGAGATGTCCTTCAACATGGCA